TTATGTTGATGAGTGCTTTCACATGTAGAGGATATTAAATGTTTATAGCCACGAGTTCATACAAATCCCAAATGAATCATATTGGCTGAAAAAGCATCATGATGAATGGTTGCCAAATCTAATGCTTCATATAAGTCCAACGGGTCGACCTGAGTCCATTCATATTCATACCAGTATAGATATTCATATCAGAGAGAAAGGTCAACCGAAGAGATGTAAATTATGTAGAGGTTAAGGTTATTAAAAAAATTGTTGAAACCTACCACGGTACATGGCTTAGAATTAGTCTTATTTCTATTTGATCGAATAATTGAATTTCTTGCCTATTTGTTAATGTTATATTTGAATAAATGTGATTAATATCAATATTTGAATGAATGTGATGAATATTTGTTGATGTTATATTTGAATGAATGTGAATAATATCGATATTTTAAATGAATGATTCAAAAAATTATCTAAAGGCCATAACATAATTATACATCAATCTTAGTTTCAACTTAACATTAATTAATTTAAACATATATACCATCATTTGAAGAAAAAATATTTAATATTAATTATCTTACAAAAGTCAAGGAAGCGTTTACAACTCCTATCGGTGCCGGTGTGTCGTTGAATAATAATGTCGAGGTGTACGTCGATTTTGTTGTGGCCGTTGCAGTTGTTCAGGAGTTTGTTCATCATAACCAACCTGATCATTTACCGAGGCATATGATCCGATGTTGTAAATACATGCCCACCACCACTTTGCTCTCACACCTGAGGATAAATACTTGTATTTGACATTATAGATGTCATCTGATCAAAATCATATGTTGCTCTAAATATGAGAAAGAACATGGGTGATTGATGAGGAATAAGCTGAGGAGTGTAGGCCTTAACACCATAATCACCAAACACTTGATGAAATGATTTTGTACAGCCAAAAGATTCTGATGGGATAATATTCATTGCCGCTTGTTCTGCTTCATGGTGAGACGAACTCTCAGTCCCACTCCATCTTGATTTTTTGGCTTTACCAAAAATTTTCTTATATTGTATAAATATTGTCTTTCTATGTTTGTTGTCAAGAACGATTTTCCATGTTCCCAATAATAATTTAGGTAATCTGAATTCTGAAAGTCAAAGTTATTCGCTTGAATGGGAGTGAGAGTTGGGAAGTATGAAGCTTTGTTGTTCCAAAGATTGATATAGTTGGCATGCCTCACAGCCCAATCGTCACCGTGCCTACCCCGCCCATCTAATATGTGGAGAGCGTCATGATTCTCGGGAATTTGCGGAATAGGTTGGTGGAAGCCGAACTGTCTCAACACTCTATCAAAAATTTGGAACTCAATAAAAACGAAATGGATCAATGATGTAACATCACACCAATATTGACAACCCTCCCAAATATGTTGCGGCACACACGATATAATTTCTCCATCATCGTACGACCTCCAAATAAACTATAAAACAAAATTATATAATTATTAATTAATTAATTATAAAATTCAACTAAATAAATAAACAATATAATAAATTAAACAAATTAATTATATACCTCAACTTTGTATTTAATGTTCATTTTAAATCTAAATTGTTTCACATTATTGTGCACCAACCCCGTTCCTTCTATTTTATGCCTTCATCTGTATACCAATCAAAATAAAATTAGCTAATTATTTTCGTATAATTTTTTTTCGTTAATTAATTTAAGATAAAGATTTTAAATCAATATTACCTTATAGCAAGAGGAAAGTCAATTGCAGTTCGGCTAATCGATGTTAACCATGGAAGTATGTGCCAAGTCCACGATTGTAAAATATCAGTCATCCACCGATTTCCATCGTACACATATTATTTACAAGTAATGACGCCTTGCACATCTCACAGTACAAGAACGCCAATATTGTCGATCCCCAACTATAGTAACGGGTATTCAAAAAGTTGTCCAAAAATGAAAGATATTGTATATGAACAAGATTACCAGATTTATCCGGCATCAAGACTTCCCCGATCAACTGTAATATATATGCTTGAGTTGCATATATAATGTCTTGCTCAGTACTATAACGATCGAGCTTGAACTCATTCGCTAACCATGATAACCTCAAACATGACCCTTTTGTAACTTTTTTTTTGGCACCTTCTCAAGGTACGCCTTGCACATTTCAAACATGTCATGATTATTTTTCCCCACCACTACCATCCCATTTATAGGGACCCCGAGTTGTAAAGCTACATCCTCTAAAGTGATCGTACATTCACCATATGAAAGATGAAATGTATGAGTTTATGGTCTCCACCGTTCAATTAATGCACTAATCAAACCGGTGACCAACTTATATTCTCTTATAAATGTTATATTACAAAAGCCCAATATTTGCAAATTCTGAACAATAAGACGATGTGGCTTATCACAAATGTTCACTCGACTACGAAGGACTCGTTGTTTGTCATCCTGTAATTTATTAATCCGTGGAATTATAATTAATTCATCGTTATCAAATAAAATATATTATTCAATAATAATACCAATGCTCCCAAATGACTAGAAATATGTCGATCATCTAGTCTCAAAAGAACATTTTGTTTTACCATGCTTCAATATATATGTAAATAAAATTAAATATTTTAATTTATAATATTACTAATAATTAAAGAAAATTTAAACTCAACTTACCAAACCACTCAAATATGATTTAATCTATGCAATCAAAATAAATAGTCTAATTAATTTATATTTAAAATAAAAATAAAAATGAAACAATAAAATTTACACTAAACTTACCACCACTCAAATACGATTTAATATGTAAAATTAAAATAAATGGTCTAAAAATTATTATTTAAAATAAAAACAATAAATAAACAATAAAATTTAAATTAAACTTATCAAACCATCTAAATACAGTTTAATCTGTAAAATCAAAATAATTAATCTAATTAATTTATATTTAAAATAAAAAATAAAAATAAAGCAATAAAATTTACACTAAACATACTAAATCACTTACCAGACCACTCAAATTCAAATCTTTTATTCCTTTGTTTGAACTTTATTCTTTCCTTTTTATTTTTCATATTCTCTCTCGACAGACTCTCTTTCTTTTCACCCCAAAACCCAACTCCCCCATTTTATAACTCAACTGTATGCTGCATTATTGGTGCCCAATAATGACACCATATCTGTTTCCAACATCAGCTTCAGCCTTCCCGTTTCCCCATGCTGTAACAGTTGCCATGCAAAGACATACAGAGGACATTGGGAAGACGCCATGCAATCTTGTTGTCTTTCCCCGTTGGCCTGAAGACGCGATGCTATTCAAGAGCCTTCACTATTTCTCTGAAGACGCCGTGCAATCCAAGAGTCTTTTTCATTTGTCTGAAGACGTCATACAGTCGTGAAGTCTTTATATTTGGCTTGAAAACCAATAGAACATCTGGCGTCTTTGGGTTGATACTGTGCAATTCATCCTAGATGGAGAAATAATCCCATGTTAGATTACATTGAGGCCATTTTATAGGCTTTTTTACCGAAATATCATTCTGACAGGTAATAATTACCTCTCAGACACTCTTTTTTCAAATTTACCGATTTAGTACCCTTTCTGACAAGGCGCAAATTGTTATATGCACTTTTGTGGGGTTTCGTCCGAGCTGGCACCACGTAAGAAAAGGCACGGATTGTCATCCGCACCTTAGCATTTTTAAAAAATATGCTTTAAAAAATTTTAAAAAATAAAACTATGGGAACTAACATTGTAATTTAATATATATTAGTTCCATACATATTAGTTTCATGAGTTGAAGAGCTTAATGGAGTTAATTTATATAAGCATATTAGAGTGTTTAGGTTATATTTCTTGACAATGTAGGATATTGAGGTTAACTTAATGACCCTATTAGAGATCTTGTGATAACTCTAAATTTTGCCATACTTTTTCATTGTTTTTTTCACTTCAGTTACTGGATTTACATAGGAAAACACAAATACTGGAGAGAAAATGATTACCCTTCACCAAGGACCCATTTTCTGTTCATAGTAGGTATCTTTCATTGTTAACATGTTAAAATTTCAAGAGTGAAAATCTACCATTAGAAAGGTAAAAAGAAAAAGTTTTAGTAGGAAAATCACTAATTTTAAACCTCTTCCACTTAGAAAATTTTCAAAGCAAAGAGAACTTGTTTTCTGAATTAAAATATTCATGCATGCTTTAGCAATTAGAACATGGTGAAATAATATAAGTTTACCTCAGTAAGTTCTTCAATTCATTAAACTAATATGTATTAAATTATGATATTAATTCCTATAGTTTTATTTTTTTAATTTTTTAAAACATATATTTTTTAAAATGCTAAGAAGCAGATGGTGATTCACGCCTGTCTCTACGTGATACTAGCTTGAATAAGGCGCGGATGACCATCCACACCTTTCAAGACGTGATGCCAACTCATATGAAACTCTATAAAAATGCGGATGACGATATGTGTCTTGTCCGAAAGAATGTTAAATCAGTATAATTTGGAAACAAGGTGTGTGATAGGTAATTATTACTTCTTAGATGATATTTCGGTTAAAAAGCCCATTTTTCAGTATAAAAAAAAAAAGAGACAAGTAAGCCTCCGTCCTGGACCAGCCACGTCAAAATCTCTGATGCTGTGAAAACGAGAAGAAGCTGTGTTATCCACTTGTCATTATTTGATTAGTCCTTCTGCCTCACCCTTTCCCATCTCTTTTACTATTATTAATATAATTTCCAATTTTTTTTCTTTAATTAAGTAAAAACCCTCATCGGAAAATCGCAGAATATTTAATCTTCATCGGAAAAGCTTCTTGCTTTAGATAGAGCAAACCAACCCCAAAGCTCCTCTCTTCTTTCTTTTCGTTATTTGTTTATTTTTCGGTTTAAATCCGATATATATATATATATATATATATATGTATGTATACGATTCTCTGTTTCAAGTGAAAGCTTAAGCCTCTTCTCCTTTTAATATTTTTTTGGCCTAGTTTTGCTTGGACCGTAAGTTGCTTTTGCTTCATCTTGTTTCTCTTTTCGTAGGGTTTCGTGTCCGTTTTTGGCCATTATCTTCAAAGGCTGTACCTTTGAGCTCAATCCAAATTCCAGAAAAAAAAACAAGAGAGAATATTATAAAAAAAGAGCTTAGTTGGATGGTTACGAATCAGAGGGATTGTTATGAGGTTCGGTGGTTTGAGCTTTGAAGCTGATGTGGAAGATTGGTTGGAAGAACAAACGGATTTTTTTTTGGTTGAAATGAGGAATTCTGGAATAATTTAGAAACTATGAGTTGCAACGAAGAAGAAACAAGAAACGTCGTCGTTTCGAACGGGTCGATGACGGCTGCTCAAGAGTTGACCTTCGATCAAAATTTGCTCATTGACCCGAAATTGTTATTTATCGGCTCCAAAATCGGAGAAGGAGCTCACGGTAAAGTTTACGAAGGAAGGTCAGTCTCAAAACACCTAGTGATAGCTTTTGTTGTAATCCGAACTTTTGTTGTTAATTATCCCAAATTAAAAAAAAAATCTTTTAGATTTCACACATATATGTGTGTGTATGTGTATGTATATGTATATGCTTGCGTGGATGTAACAGGAACAGTCAATATATGAAGAACATTGTTATTATTTCTGTAAGAATTTTGTAGAAGTTATAACTTGTTTATTGTGTTATTGAAAATGAATGATGGGGATAGAAATTTGTAAAAAAAAAAATAATAGATTGTGCATCGAGGGTTGCTCTCTAGTTACATAGGGATGAGTCTAATATTTTTCCAGGTATGGTGCTCGGATTGTTGCGATTAAAGTTCTTCACCAAGGGAGGACCGCCGAGGAAAGGGCTGCGCTCAAGAGTCGTTTTGTTCGCGAAGTTAACATGATGTCTCGAGTGAAACACGATAACCTTCTCAAGGTGATTGTTCGAAGCTTGGAATGCTAAATATGACTTGATGTAATCTGTTGATTTTATTGATTTGTTGCCTTGGAAGTTCTTTGGAGCTTGTAAGGACCCGTTGATGGTTATAGTGACCGAGCTGTTACCGGGAATGTCCCTCCGGAAGTATTTAGTTAGCATCCGTCCGAAGGTTTTGGACCTCCGCGTGGCTTTGAATTTTGCACTGGACATCGCCCGAGCCATGGATTGTCTGCATGCCAATGGGATTATACATAGGGATCTAAAGCCTGGTATTTCTTGAACATACTTCTTCTTTGATGAAATGCATTTGTTCACAGTTTAGTATCGATTTCTCAAGTCCTTTGACTGATTCCTTACTTGGAAATTTAATAATACAGACAACTTGCTGCTTACTGCAAACCAGAGGTCCGTGAAACTCGCAGATTTTGGTCTTGCGAGGGAAGAAACTGTGACAGAGATGATGACTGCAGAGACCGGAACTTATCGTTGGATGGCCCCTGAGGTTTGTGCCATTATTGCATTAGCAAATCAGAAAAAGAAGCTTATTTTCAATGAAAATTGATTCTTTTTTTTTCCCCATCTCATTGGTTTCGATACTTAAGTCGATGAATGTTCTTCAGAGGCCTCAAGTCTTCTGTATAGATAGAATAGCCATAGATTCATGGGTTGTCTGGTAGTGTTATATTCAGTAGATGGCTGGATTAGTGGACGTAAAGTACTCATTAACCTCTTCAACGCCTGTTTGAGCTTTGGACATACAACTGACAATAATGTCGGGCAGTTTTCTTCATCGTCTTCTCGTGGTTATCGTTTGTTTTAATCTCTATTAGTAGAATTAACTCCAATCTTTCTTTCGATTTGTGTCATTGTAGTTGTATAGCACGGTGACGTTGCGTCGGGGAGAGAAAAAGCATTACAGTAACAAAGTTGACGTCTACAGCTTTGGAATTGTCTTATGGGAACTGTTGACCAATCGAATGCCATTCGAGGGCATGTCGAATCTACAGGCAGCTTATGCTGCTGCTTTTAAGGTGCAAGTCTTTATTGCATAATCCGTTATGCATGATAAATTGTTCAAAATCATCGATAACTAATTAGTTTGATGTCGTACGAGTGTGCAGCAAGAGCGACCTAGCCTTCCAGACGATATATCCCCCGAACTGGCGTTTATCATACAGTCATGCTGGGTCGAGGACCCTAACATGAGGCCAAGTTTCAGCCAGATAATGCGTATGCTGAATGCATTTCTCTTCACGCTCACGCCCCCACCGTCCATACCGGAATCCGACACCAGCGAGACTGCAGAAACAAGTAACGGAGCCATGACCGAGTTATCCTCTCGAACAAAGGGTAAGTTTGGTTTCCTTCGCCAATTGTTCACTGCCAAGAAGACAAGAAACTCTCATTGAGGTTAAAGTTTTGAAGAAAAAAAATATTTTCTTTCTCATGCCAACGCACGCCATATTTTAGGTACGTATTTTAACCGAACCTCGTCTTAGACATCCCTATTTTTATGATGATTATCATCAAATGAAGGGAATGTAGGAAGGATGTTGGTGGGTTATAACTCCTCGGGCAACATAAAAGGAAGATACAGCACCATTTACACTGTCTATTAGACTTTGCTGTAAAGAAGATACACTTGTTTGACATTGTCATGTTGATATTAAATGTTACATTCATCATCACCAAAAGGCAATCATACCGCGATTTTTCATTTTCCGAGCATGTTTCGTGTTCGTTTTATGGTATATTTTTGAGTTTTCGAGGTTTGGGGTTACTCTTCAATGGTCAGAACAGAATGGTTTTTGATAATAGAAAAAGGGTCTTTCATCTATGGTATGATACTAATGGCATGGGAAGAAGCTCAAGAATCATGGTTGGTTGTATAAGCCATGGCCCCATAGCTGAACAACCATGCAATGCCTTGTGTCGTGGTCCATGCGGACCATATCGATCTGTTTAAGACATCGATCGATCCCAACTGCCGAGGGGTTTATCGTTTTTTGCTTCAGTAAGTGGCTACTTCATTAACACATTCTTTTGAGCAGTGTGCGATCCGTTCGGAATCTTGCTTAGCAATTGACAACATACAAAAATGTGTACAAAAATTTAAGAAGTTTTAAATTTTATATAAATCTTTGATATTTGTGATTTTTTCGAGGTTATGATTCAATTTTGAATAGATTTTTATATGATTAAAAATAGAAAATAAAATATATTATTAATATTTATTTTTTTCGAAATTAATTCATTTAATTTATTGATTTAAAATTAATTAATTTAATTTTTATTCAATAATTTTGTTTTCTTGATTTTAAGATTCAACTGATCGGAAAAAGTTAAATTTATAATTGATTAAAAATAGAAGTCTTGATTTAGTCTATAATAAATGAATGGTATAATATTAAAAAAATACTTCTAATATTTGATTAAATAATTATTTTAGTTTGTACTCTTTTTCTGGTATTTTGGTTCCATCATTTTATTTTATAGCAAAAAGGTCTCTAACTTTTATTAAATAACCACTTTAAACTATATTTTTCTTTCGGAGCATTTTTGAGCTAAAATTTCATTTTAAGATAGAATGACTTTTATTTTAGAGTGTTGATCATTTGTTGACTAACAGTTTTCATCTACAAAGGATCTTTTTGTCTAAAAAAAGAAACATTAGAAATTAAAATGCTCAAAAAATAAGGACCAAAATAACTAAAAGTGTTGAATGAGACATTTGTGCCAAAAGATATACCAATAGAGCCTGTTGATAGGTTTGTGAATCACATCAATGCTGATAACTTTATATGCTTTTATGACGAGGAGATACCAGATGAAGGGAAAGGTATATGCAAGGCATTGCATATAACTGTTTATTGTAAAGAGGTTATTATGTCTAGGGTATTGATAGATAATAAATCAGCGTTGAATGTCATGCCATGTGAAACATTGAATAGACTCCCTGTTGAGACTTCACACATGAAGGTCTATGGTAACACTGTTCGTGCATTCGATGGCACTGAAAGGAATATTATGGATAAAATCACAATTCCCCTTCGCATTGACTCAACTACCTTTGAGGTAGAATTTGTATTCATGAACATCCATCCAAACTACAATTGTCTGCTGGGAAGGCCATGGATACATATTGATGGGGCAACTCCTTCATCATTACATTAAAAATCGCTGTTCATTTCTGAAGGAACTTTGGTGACTGTCGAGGTTGAAGAAGAAATTATAGCGTTTGTCACCACTGAGGCACCATATGTGGTGGTGAAGGAGGATGAACTTGAGTCTCATTCCAGTCCTTGGAGTTTGTAAATGCTACTTTCGGGAAAGAATATGCCCTATCCCAGATTGTCAATGAGCACTATAATGCAGTTGAAGGAAACCATAGCTCGAGGAGCTCAAGTTGGGAAAGAATTTGGAAAGAGGTTACAAGGAATCACTGAGGTTTCGGCTTTAGTGCCCAAAAGAAATGGCTTTGGAATTATGTACAAACACACTCATTAGGACATGATTAAGGATGCCTATAAGCTTAGGGAAAGAAGAAATGCAAGGGCAGGTGGTTAGGATATTACTTGGAAGCCTATTGTTATATCGCACATCACTCAGACCTTCTTATTAGGGGGTTTCATGATTGATGCATTAGAGCACCCATTGGTTGGTAAAAAGGTTGTGGAAATTGAGGCTATAATGGAAAACTTGAGCATCAATGCTATCACAGATGAGTCAACTGCTGAATGCTCATGAGCTTCGATTCGGCCTTGCCCCTGGACAGTTTTTGGACAACTATACTGTCAAAGAACTGCCTATATTCTACAAGCTCGTTTCAAAGTAATGCATAGTAACAATCATGTTATTTTTTGTAACCCGAATATAGTAAGGTTTCTTTTGTAAAAGAAAAAATTGTTATTTGTCATTACTTTAATGAAATGATGCATTTTCTTCATATTCTTCATGTCAAACATTTTATTTATTTCTTTATTGCATTATTATTATTATTTTGGTGAATATATATAATAAAATTCTTGTCCATAGCCCAAACACGTTCTTTTCCATTCGCAGGTCTCCAGATATCAATTGCTCAAATAATGATATTTTTAAACCAAATGTTGATTTTAAAAATGATATGTGTCTAGAGGAATATGAGGGTTATAAAGATGATGAGGAATGTGAGTTTAACCCTGAACTTTTCAGGGTGATTGAACAAGAAATAATCAGATTTTGCCTCATCAGGACGTACTGAAACAGTGAATCTGGGGATAGAGGAAGACAAAAAGAAGATCAAAATATGTACCTCACTCTCAGTAGAAATAATGCAGGACCACATAAACCTACAACGTGAATTTAAGGATGTGTGTTTCTTGGTCATACCAGGATATAATGGGTTTGGATACAAACATTGTTGTACATAAGCTACTAATAAATCCAGGATGCAAGTCGGTACATCAAAATCCTCGAAGGATGAGGCTAGACATGTTGTTGAAAATAAAAGAAGTGAAAAAACAGTTCGATATTGGATTCTAATAGGCATCCAGGTATCCCGAGTGGGTAGTTAGTATTGTGGCCATTCCAAAGAAAAATGGGAAAGTTCAAATGTGTGTTGATTATCGAGATTTCAATCATATAAACCCTAAAGACAACTTTCCACTTCCTCATATTGATACCCTGAATGACAACACAACTAGACATGCTCTGTTCTCTTTCATGGATGGCTTCTAAGGGTATAATCAAATCAATATGGATCCCGAGGATATGGAAAAGATAATATTTGTAACAATGTGGGGTACATTTTGCTATAAGGTGATGTTGTTTGGACTAAAGAACTGTAACATCCTAAGTAACGGGTTAGTGACTAATTTGTAAAAATTCAGAATTTGGTAATTAAAGTAGAATAATTATATAGTTTAAAAATAATTGTTAGTAAATATGAAATGAATTTAAGGACAAAATGGTCATTTGCAAGGAAAAAATTAATTAAAAATTTTATGGGGTTATATTATAACCCACGTGGGGCTTGAGTAGGAAACAAGGTTCCAGACATTTCTCTTCTTCACTCTTCTCTTCTTCCAAACGTGAAGACCCAAGTTTAAGGTAAGAATCTGAACCTTGGTAGTTTCTTTGATTTTTAGCTTGGAAATTGAAGTTTGGATGTTATATAAGCTAAAGGAAAGCTTATATGGCATTAAGACAACAAGATAAGTGTTTTAGAGATAGATTTGGAAAAGGAGTTTTTAGATGAAATTTTGATATGGATGAGTTTTTGAAGTTTGAACAAGATTTTTGACTTGTCAATAAGTTAATTAAGAAGTATGAAGTGATAGAATTAAAATTAGAACAAGTTGGAATTTGAGTGAGATTCTTAAATTCTACATGGATGATTAGCTTTTTTAGTTTTAGAGGTATTGAATGGATAATAATTAGTTTAAGTAAGTGTATGAAAGCTAAGAGTATTAAAGGGAGTGAAATATGAATGTTTGAGCTGAAATGAGATGATTTTCGAGCTCAAAATAGGATTTCTGGGCTAGGGGAATCGATACTCATTCAAGGGGAATCGATACCCCCTCAACGTATATGAATTTCCAGAATGCTAGAGGGGAATCGATACCCCCAGGGGGGGAACCGATTCCCCCATATAAAAAAAAAGAGAAAGACTAAACTATTAATTCCTTAAATTGGTAGGCTATTAAAGATTAATTTCAAGACATAGACATCTGATAATCATCTTGAAAATTATGTTTATGTAGATACTGAGCCTACACGAGTTCGGGAACAATCTACAAGTAGGATCGATCGAGGAAAAGATAAAGAAATATAGGTGAGTGCATAAGCATAGCATAATTATAGAAATATACTCAATTCTAGACTTGTGATAAGTCTAGATTTTATATCTTGGTACATGATCATATTCTGTATTATGAGACATGACATGAATTCATATAACATGCATTATATGACATGAATATGCAGGAAAAGTTATGAGCTATGTGAAAAGGTAAGAATTTACATGTCTACGCGATATAGACTACGTGAAATGTAAAAGCCCATGTTATGTAGATGAGAACTATAGGTATAGTTGGCATGCCAAGGGTAGAGGGTCTACGCGGTCCTTCAGGACAATATTCTACGCGATCATTCGGGACAATATTCTACGTGGTCCTTCGGGATATATATATATTCTTTGGAACATGTGTGAAGTCTGGTGAGACACATATGTGATCCCTAGCATATGTATATGATTCTTAAGGAATTCTATGTGGTCCTTATGGACATTATTATATGGCACTACGGTGCAATTCTACTCGGCACTTCGGTGTATTTATACGAGCTGTGGTGACAGCATAGTGCACAACCTCACATTACTCAGATACCTTAGGTTCTCAATATAATATCATGGGTCAATAAACTTATTAATACAAATTT